CTACTCTGTGACCTAAATATTGGACTTCAGCCATGCCCACGTGGCATTTCTCAGGCTTCAAGGTTAGCCCTGCATTCTGAATTCGGTTGAGCACTACTGAGATGTGCTCCAGGTGGGCTTCCCAAGTGCCACTGAAGATAGCTATATCATCCAGGTAAGCACAAGCGAAGCCCTGAAATCCCTCTAGGAGCCGGTCTGCCATCCTTTGAAACGTAGCTGGGGCATTCTTCATCCCAAATGGCATAACCTTAAACTGGTATAGGCCAAATGGGGTGACAAATGCCGATTTTGGAATGGCCTCAGGCTCCAAAGGGATTTGCCAATATCCCTTGCACAAACCAATAGTGGTCAAATAATTCCCCCCAGCCATACGGTCTAGCAGCTCGTCTACTCAGGGCATGGGGTATGCGTCGGTAACGGTCCGATCATTTAGCTTACGGTAGTCCAAGCAGAACCTGGTGGTACCGTCTTTTTTATGAACCAGCACTACTGGGGAAGCCCAGGGGCTTTGGGACGGTTCTATGACCCCCAGTTCTAACATGTCCTGGAGTTCCGTTAACATGCTTTCCCGTACTGCCTCTGGAATTCGGTAAGGCTGCTGCCGCAGGGGTAACTGGCCTGGGGTCTCCACTCTGTGGACTGCCAGGGTCGTATACCCTGGGGCTGCTGAAAACATGCCCCCAAATTCCTTTAACAGTTGGGAAGCCTGAGCTTGTTCCTCGTAACCTAATTCTGGACCCAACTGTACCTGGTCTACTCCTGTGGGTTCCTGGGGAAGCATATCTGGTAAAGGGATACCCTCACTATCTTCATATGCTGGAGCGCATACCGCGGAGACCTCCTCTGGTCTCTCGAGATATGGCTTGAGCATGTTTACATGGAAGGACCGCCGGATCCTTTCATTGGAACAGTCTGCCACAATGTACGTGGTATCACTGATCCGCTCTATTACAGTCTAGGGGCCCTGCCAGGATGCCTGTAACTTATCTGTTTTGATAGGTTTAAGCACTAGGACCTTTTGTCCCACTTCTAATATACGGTCTCTAGCTCCCTTGTCATACCAGTACTTCTGCTGTTGTTGGGTGGCTCGCAGGTTCTCCCGAACTGTTTCGGTCAGAGCCTGTAGCCGGTCCCTCAGCTCTAGTACAAAGGAGACTATAGGGGTACCTGCTTGTTCCATATCACCCTCCCAATGTTCCCGTACTAGATCCAGGGGTCCCCGAACCCGTCTCCCGTATAATAGCTCGAACGGGGAGAATCCGATGGACTCCTGGGGAACTTCCCTATAGGCAAAGAGCAAATGAGGGAGGAATATTTCCCAATTCCTACAGGTCTCTGTGAACGTGATAAGCATTTGCTTAAGGGTGCCGTTAAAACGTTCACAGAGGCCATTGGTTTGGGGGTGATAGGGAGAGCTTAATATGGTTTTTACCCCACAGCTCTGCCAGAGCTGTTGGGTAACCACCGCGGTGAATTGGGTTCCCTGATCTGACACTATCTCCCTAGGGAATCCTACCCTAGTGAATACCTGAACTAGTGCTTCCGCTACAGTCTCTGCATGTATATTGGACAGAGCTATAGCTTCGGGGTAGCGGGTAGCGTAGTCCACCACAGTAAGAATGTATTTCTTACTGGATGGACTGGGTTTACTGAGTGGCCCGACTAAATCAACTGCCACTCGGAAAAAGGGTTCCTCAATAATGGGTAGGGGGCGTAGTTTTGCCCTGGGGTGATCCCCTCTTTTCCCTACCTTTTGGCATACTTCGCAGGTCCTACAATAATCCTGCAAATCTCTAGTGACCCCTGGCCAGAAAAAGGACTGGGTGAGTCTGTCTCTCGTCTTTTTAATGCCCAAGTGACCTGCTAGGGGAATATCGTGGCTAATCCGCAACAGTTCTACTCGATACTTACGGGGTACTATTAACTGTCTTTTTTCTACCTGGCCCGCTCCTGTCCCTGTCCCCCCAGTCACTCGGTACAGTAAACCCTTTTCCCAGCTAAACCTTGCCTGATCTCTGTCTCCCTGGGGTTGTTCTGCCTCCCTCTGATACCCTTTCAAGGTGGGATCTTCCCGTTGCGCTTGCTCAAAGTCTTGAGGGGTACCCCAGTAAGAAGTATGGTCGGGGGAATCGTCAGAGGGTTATCGCTTACCTGGTCATGGGTTGAGGGGGAGGCTTCCGGGGGAGGATTGCTGCCGGGTGGTAACAGGTAGTGTTCCTTCGGGACTGCAGGCTGCCAATTGGGACGTCAGGCATCCTAGATCATTCCCCAGCAATACTTCTGCGGGCAAATCTGGCATGATGCCCACTTCTACGGCCTTGGCCCCTGTACCCCAATCAATGTGAACCCGGGCTGTTTGTAGTTTGTGAATTACCCCTCCGGCCACCCTTACAGCAATGGTGCGTCCTGTGTGCTGGGTCGGGGTGACCCAGTGTGGCTGGACCAAGGTAATAGTAGCCCCGCTGTCTCTTAGTCCCCGAGCCTCTTGTCCATTGAGCTTTACTGACTGGCGGTGGTGCGCCCTGTTATCCCCAGCCGCTTGCACAGGGTTCACCTCATGTAAGGTGGCCCAATTCTCACTGTTGCTACTGGGTGTCTCTTGAATCAGAGAGTTGTAATCCTCTTGCACACAGTGTGTGGCTGCTTTGGTTGGTGGTACCGGTGCCCGCCCCCAGCGGTCTGTAGTGCGTTGTGGGCAATTAGGTATGATGTGCCCCACTTGCTTGCACCCATAACACATTGGAGCGGTCTTTTGGTACCCCGGGGTTGTGGTATTGCTTCCTGGTAGTGGTACCCTCTGTGGCATAGTTGGCGGGCCAGATGCAGGCCGCTGGCCCTGGACCCCTCGGTTTCCATCCATCCGCCTGCTCTCATGGAATTCGTCTGCCAGCCTTGCTGCCTCCTCCACCGTTTTTGGCTTTCTGTCTCTGACCCAGTCTCTCACCTCCGCTGGAGTATAATCAAAAAATTGCTCCAGTAACAACAATTGCACAGCATCCTCTAGGGTAGTTGCCTGCTTCCCCTGCATCCAAATGCTGGCAGCGCGTTGCATACGAAATGCCCACTCCGTATATGAATCCTTGCCTTGTCTTCTGAGGGCCCTGAATTTCCTTCTATGGGCTTCAGGAGTTACAGCGTACCGGGCTAACAAAATTTATTTTATCTTGTCATAGTTTTGTATATCCCCATCTGGCACAGCTCTCAACGCTTCGGCTGCTCTCCCTGATAGTTTACTACTTAATACTGCAGCCCAGTTAGCTCTTTCCAAATCTTCTAACACACATTGTCTTTCAAAATCTTGCAAGTAATTATCAATATCCATCTCACCTTCCACGAAGCTTTTAAGTGCAGCGTAGTTGATTTTCCGCTGACGCTCCATTGTAGATCCAGATAGCGACAATATATCCACAAGAGGTGATCTGTCTCTGGCTTCTCGTGCTTCCCTGGCATTCTGGGACTCTGTAGCTTGTGCCAAGATCTGTACCACGATCTCTGGTGCAGGGTTAGGTCCTACCAGGCTGAGTCTCCATCTCACATCCCTCTGGAACTCTGTTTCCTCTGCATTCGCCATTTGTGGTTCGCTGGTTTGATCGCTCTCCAGTAGTTCGGCTATTAACGTGGCTTTTGTTTTTTTTGCTTGCCACTATGCCTCGAGCTTCCAGCAGTTCCTTCAATGTATTTTGTTTCAAGCGTTCGTATCTATGCGCCATTCACCCCTTGTTTCAATTCGGTACGTCCGTTCGGG